ATTTAATATTTAGTTTTTCGAGAAAGAATCGTCACCCGAAATTTAACTTACACAAACTATTCTAAATAATGACAAGCGGTTTTCTATTGCCGGGAAGGTTGTTCTATTTTTGGATCTCATATAAACGGCAACGACACATCGTTAAATTAATAAATAAATAAATAAAAAAGACGAATCATAAATTATTGTTCAAAAATATGTATTTTAATTATATAATTTAGTTAAAGAATGAAGATTATTCAATTATTCCACTTGCATAGGACGAGAAATTTCCAACTTTAAATGTTTAATATTCTTCTTAGATGAATATTTTCATACAATTAAAGAATATTTTTGGATCGACATGGCGAACGCCATTTCGTTTCAAGTTTTCAAACCTTATTCCGAACTTGTTTCACCATTATTCTTCGCCATACTCCGAAAAAAAAATCACTTCGAAACCAGAAACCTGAAACACGCTATCTATAAAACTAGTTTCGCCCGAAGCATTAAATCACACCTTTAAATTTCATCGACGATTTCTAATTTCACTCGATGAATAGAATTAAATCATATTTGTAATTAATAGGTATGTATGTTCAAGAAATAAATGTTTGTATTGTTTCGCCCTTTACAGTTTAGGAAACATTTCCGTCCTAAAAAAGTACAATACATCATATCATTTTTGAATAAAATTTATTTTACACGTCAAAATTCGGAGTTAACCGTTACATTCATGCCAAGCCTTTAACATTCTTTTTCTTATAAGGCAAAGGAAGTTATTTTAAACAGCAATAAGAAGATTCCGTCATGGCGCAGTTTTTTTTTTAAAAAAAAATTTTTTAAGTTGGTTAATAATTTCCAAAAATGATTTTATTCTTAATTATTAATTAAAAAAAAAAAGGTTTTCAATATATATAAAACGGGTTTATGGTTTTACTATTGAACAATAAGTTAAAAAAAATGAATTGTTTTAATGATAAACATCATGTATACAAGTGATTAAATGTGGAGAAATTAAAACAAAAAGGGTCAATGCATTCACGCATCAAATATAATGTATAAAGGTTAATTGTTTGTTTTGTATTATTTCTTAAAAAAAAAAATAAAATAAAGTTCTTTTTTTTTTGATCGAAGGACAATACGAAATTTCGGAAAATATTGAAACTTCTTTTTATGTCTGTCATATGCATGATCATCTGGTATAATTTTTGTCGATTGTAAAAAAAAAATTAAAATAACGAAAAGAAATATGTAAGGAACGATAGGAATAATCAATACGGTCGCACCTCCAAAAAGGGTAGTCTTGATTTTCATTTTCAAACCGACTCAAGGTTGAAATCCTTTATGAAAAATTTTCCATAAAAATCGAGGACAAGCAAGCGTACATCCTAATTCATTAATTTCACAACTCTAATTAAATTCAACGACCAAAGGTATTACATAATACTTCGAAACAAATAAATGATTTGTTTGTTAGAAATCACGAACAATATGATTCTCAAGAACTGATTGTCCTTAAATGAAAACGTGGATTTTTACTCTGAAAAAAATTTTCCGATTTCTTTGGCTGTCAAATTTCATACTAAAACAAATTGGGAAATAGGTAAAATGTGGGGTATAATTGAATTTGATACACAATACGATTACTTAATCTATTATTTTCAAAAAAAAAATATTTTTTTTTTAAACGATATTTAAAATTTACTTTTTTCCTATTTTTAAAATATATTTTGGGGGTTGTGCGTTGAGGGTGAGAATTTGAGTTTGTGAATTGTTGGCGTGGGGGCGAATTATAATTGTGGTTAATTGAAAAAATAAAATAGTTTAATAAAAGGAAAAAAAGTAAACTTGTGTAATTTTCCTTCGGTTGCTAATCCAAAGCAAAAAGATGCAATGACCATTACCATATTCTTTTCTTTATGGGATTTCTTTATGAACTTTATTTATAAGGAATGAATGAATGCAAATTAAATTAATGGCGTCGAATGATGTTCTATCGCATTTTAATGGTAATAATTCCTTATCTCCCAAGTACGGGATGCAATAAAACGAATTTTAATCTATTACAATAAGGATATGATGTGGAGTAACTTACCCTCTTTATCGGTCATTGTACCAAACAAAGGAGTTGGGTTCTAGATTGTGACACGTGACACTCCTTTCTGCGCCACAACCCCTCGTAATCGGTGCTAGATTTGGGCTAATTGATGCGATTTTGTCTCATAAACTAAATCAGCTAATAAGAGAATATCCGGCAAAAAAAAAAAAAAAAAAAAAAAAAAATTAAATAAAATTTGTCAATGCAGTTTTGGTGTGACATTTATATAAAGAGGGTTTCTTTGACAGTTTCTTGTTCATTGACACCTGGTCTGTTGCAGTTGCACAACTTTTACGTGATGTTTCAAGTCGAAATCTGATGGTAAATTTTTGGGCGTCATATGCGCGTACCCAACACAACTATTCAGGATTGATAGGGGTGTTCTGTAATCTTAATTGAAAATCTCTTTTTCTTTCTCTCTTTTTTTTTTTTTTTTTTTTTTCTTTTTTTTTTTTGTTCTCTTTTTGCACAAATTGCTGCTTTAAAACAACAACCTTCTGCTCGCATAAATCCGACATTGATTGACATAAAAAAAAAACTAAAAATTTGATGCAATATCATGTTGTTTATGCACATTATCCATATCATCATACATCATTTGGGGATCATTACGGGAACTATAGGAAGCAAACAAAACTGCATGAAAAAACAGCATTGACCTAACCGCAAAGAACGGACGGAGCGAACTGCGCCACACCCTGGAAAAAAGTTCTTTCTACAGGACATGGCGGGAAAAATGACACAATGATCATGAGATCTTCAAACTTTCTCACCATGTGCGTAATTGATTCGGCGATTAACTGTTACTGGTAAAAATAGACTCGGTTATAAATAGGGCTCACGGCCACAATTCAGCGAGGGGTATTATGGTGGCTTAAACGTTAATTTCGCGTGGCAATCCGTATTAAGTTTGTTGGCTGCGAAAAATTAAGGGCCTTGAGAAAGACAGCAGATGTAAAGATAACGTGTGAAGCTCGTGGTGCTTACATTCAATTTATGCAAAAAATTTTCACCTGTCAGTTACGGAAATTATTTCTGTAAGTCCATAATCTCCGAGCTAATTAATTGTGTATGTGGGATTTCCCATCGATAACATGAAAAATTCGACATTGTGGCTTTTATAATAAAAAAAAAAAATTCAAAAATAAAAGTATTCAAAATTAAAAATTAAAATTTTTTTTTTTCCTCCTTAAACACAAAGAAAATACCAAAATGAAGATTACTGTAAACATTACAAAGAAAAAAAAGGTTTAACATGCCATATATGGAATGCGAAAGATAAGCCTCTTTCCAAACAACAAACAAAATGCTTTTTATAGTTAAATGGTTGACTATTTTAAAATAAACTTTTTTAAACTTGTATAACATAATAAATGTGTGATTTTTCTAGTGATTTAAATGATAATTCTAGGTAAATGCTAATTGGGAATTGACTCGATGTGTAAAATGACTTGATATAAGAGGTGTGGCAAGTTTGACAAAAATTATAATTATAATTATCATTTATTATTACTTTTTTTTTGTATGATGAAAAGAATTCCTGACAAGTTATAAAAAAATTAATTAGGGATGTGCCTTTGTGGGGGTGTTTCCTTTTATTCTGACTATCCTCAATTTGGATAAATAAAATTTCATCATTCATATTATTTTCACAAGCTTCCATATTTTTCTATTTATCGTCTTTGTCCTCATAAATATAATAATCAATCCTGATAAAGCAAGATTTGTCAGACTCTCATTTAAAATATGTCGAAGAATACGCAGTAACGTCAAATGTGGTGGCTCGAAGAAGAGGTCAAGGAAAAGGAAAATTCCAACAATTGTCCTTACGCATTGACCACCGACATCCTGAGCTTCGTTTTACTCCTTTTTTACTACCAAAATCGTTCCATAAGTGAAAGTTGAAAAGAATTACAAATGTTTGTTTTTTTTTTTTTTTTTACAGGTTCCGTTCAATCATATGAAATTACGAAATTAATATTACGAATTATATTTTTATTTTTGGGTTATAAATGGTTCCGAATGGTTGGAAATGAGCTCGGAGTTCAAATTTAAAAACAAATGGGCGGAAAAACGAAAGAACGAATTATGGGGGATTAAATTAACATGTTCAAATCCTATACGGATATGACCAACTCAATAGCCGACATCAAATTCCCGACGATCGGACTTGGGGGTGTGAGGTTTTATCATCTAAAAATATGTTTAAAATAAAAAATATATTATACTGTAATCCTTATCCGTCTAATAAGGTTCAGTTTTATGAAGATCTAAAGTTTTACTGAACTAGATTTTCAAAAATAATTAACCTTCTTTTTTTTGTCGTCACTGTGTAATCCAGTTCGTTACTTTTAGTGGTCTATGCCGGGTACGTGTAACTTAGGGATCTCCTCCCTTCATCCCATATGTTTGATTTCAATCATCACAACATATTTTACAATTTAAAAAACTATCACAGTATGCCTTTCCACTATACTTTAAAAAGATAACACTCTTAATATATATTGTGATATTCATTACAGATAGTTTATATAATTTTTTTATATATACGGTTCGCATTTCCCATATAAACGTCGAAATTTCTGATTCCCCTCTTTTGCTGTCTAGTTCTCCTTTAAATCCTATAATAGACCATTTTATATATATATTATCTTTTAATATATATATAAATAGAATTATATTATCATTTAAAATTCGTTTTTTTTTGTTGTTTGCTTCCTATAAAATTTTAAGAAAATAATTTCAAGTGTCATTCATTAAAATAAATTTCTTTTCCTATATATAAAAAAAAATAGTCCAATATCTTTTGTTTTTTTTTTTAAAGTATTTTTATTGACAACTTGAAGGTTATATTCTTGTTGGTTTATCTTAAAATTAGGGTTTTCGTTGTATTATGACAAATTTTAATACTGCTTTAAACATGCAGTTACAAACTTCTAACCTCGCTCAAAATTTACAAGCCAATAACGGTCTCAAAGAAATGGTTGTAAAAGCAAACGAGACTAACAACGCAAACAATTCTACTACCTCCGTACAAATGACCTCAAATAATACCGGAAATGTTGCTGCGGCGAACGTTGATCAAGAAACTTTCATACCTCAAATGCCACAACAACCCCAAGTCAAAATTACAAAGGGTGGTAACTCGGTACCAAATTTTGAATATGTATCTTATGATCGAGTTCAAGATTTATACGAACAAAATAAGGGAACTTTGTATTTCATCCCAGAAGGTTTTGAACCCGTCCTGGTTCCTAATGACGCAAAAGCTCAAACCGTCACAAATTTATTGGAGAATGCAAAACCCGTATCAGCTGCCCCAAATGTACCTAGAATGTTACCTGATACCGATGTTCGTCTTCCATCATTCGCCCTTCCATGCGGTGTAGCCGGTCCCCCACCAAAAGCTTCTTCATCAAACTCAAAGACAAAGGTCAAGAAACCACCAAGACCACCAAATGCTTTTATCTTATACCGTAGAGCTAAGCAACCCGGTATCGTCGCTAGGCACCAAGGAATTACTAATAATGAGGTTTCAAAGGAGATTGGTAGAATGTGGCATGAAGAACCGGCCGAAATCCGTCAAAAGTTTCAAAAGATGGCCGATGCCGCAAAGCAAGAACATATGAAAAAATACCCTGAATACAGATATCGTCCAAGAAGACCACAAGAAAGGAAGCGCAGGATTCAACCACGTGAAGATTCACCATCAGAAAGTAATGCCTCGCCTATTTTGCCCACACAAAGTTTACCAATGCTTGATACTAATGCATTTTACCCAAGGCGTATTTCTTCAATGTCAGCCGATGGTGAAAATTCACAAATTTATACCCCAACCACCATGGTGAACTCCCATAATAATATCATTCAACATCATCCTCAACATCAACAATTGTTATTTGCTGACGGTCAAATAGTGAATTCCCCACAACAGCTCAATCAAAATTATATGGATGCCACAATGGCAAAGTACGATTTCACTTACCTTGATGATTCGGTCTCTCAGAATTCGTATGATGGCAGCCCTATATCGTCTTCAAACACAACTTTTGTTAATAACCATATGACAACAAATCCGGGTGGCATTGATTTTAACGTATTTGATGCGTCACAAAACGGGTCGAACGAAGCTGTAAATTATATCGACTTTGACGCTTACGATCAGTACGAAAATATGGCTGCTCTCTCATTTATTTCCGCTGATGAACATTTCCTTCGTAATAATCCGCAATTCGTGAAATTCGATTACTAAACAAAATCCACTATTAATTTAAGAACTTTTATTTTTCAATTTTCTAAAAATCATTTTTTTTTAAAACTGTAAATTTTTTTCCTGGTAAGCAAAGCAACCTTTGTTTTTTTTTTAAAAACATTATGGCGCGACGTTATATTTGAGAATCTTTGCTAACCTGATTTTTATGTTTTTCAGATATAACTCGATATATCATACTTCGTTTTTTGTTACTATTTTTCTTCGTAAATATTTTTATTTTCCTCGTTTTTATTGTTAAATACTTTTTCTATCGTACAAACACAAACAAACACAAACAAAAAAAATCTCGAAAGTTACCTTCACTTTTATTGCATTTTTGCATACACCATTCCTTTTCCTTAAATTACAAACAATTATGATTCAACAACAAAATTAAGGTAATTTCACAAGAATTAAATTGTTATTTTGAAATTTTGAACGCAACATTGCAATCGTGCTTCAATCTTACTTTACATATGCTAATCTCATCCATTTTATCTCCTCACCTGTAGATTTAACCATTTACATTGTAAAATTCATCTAAGCAAAAAAAATACTTTTCACGCATTTTTAATGTTTCTTGTTATAATTATTCGAATAATAATTTAACGTTAACTTCGATTGTTGAATTGTTGAATGGAAGGGGAGAAGCAATCTCAAAAAGAAAAAAATGATTTGCTCCCTTTTTTCAAAAAAAAACCTCGAAAATTTTTAGAAATTACATTACATTTCACATCCCCCTTTTTTTTACACGGGCAAACTCTCATGACCTAATCTCCAGAGTAAAGAAAGATTTTACAATCCGAGGTTTTTTTTTTTTGCACAGAGTTCTTCGTTGTGCTTTTTTTTTTTTTTTTTAAAAAAAAACAAAATACAAAAAAAAAAAAAAACTAAAAAAAAACGAAAAAAAATTTTTTTCTTTATGTCGTGCAGAGAAAGTGTGAACTTCAGGCCAAATTTCGTTTTTTGGTAAATCCAAACAGTCAGTATTCATTTGCTCCACTACTGTACTTTTACGCCTACACTTTTCTCCAATTTAGGTATATGCTTCTCTTTTTTTATTGATTTGCTTCTCTGTTATAATTCTAGTACGACATTTTACTTCTCCCCTTGGTTAATAAAGTGTCCTAGGTTATATAATATTTTATGATAAGAAAATTTTTTATTTAAAGATTTTAATGTATAGTTTTTTTATATTAATAATTTCTAATATAATCGTAATGTCATGTATAAAAACAAAAAAAAAAAATTAATAGTTATTTGCATAATTATACTTCTTTTATAACTTGGAAGAGAAAAAATTCGGCGATTCTCCGAATTTTTATTAGGACCATTAATTAATACTTATTATAGCAGTCCTTTTTTAGCGTATAATTATTTGACGCAAAAAAAACGCATTGTAAATCACAAACACAAACATTTCATGCATTCAACCTTTTCGTTTCTTTCCTAATGTTATATATATTTTTTTTTATATTACCCCCATTTTCAATTTTTCCACATTTGTAAAAAAAAATCATCAATTTTATTTGCATTTAATCCTACTTGCATTTTATTAATATATTAATAGTTATTTTAACCAAGCGTTATAACAAAAAAAAAAAAAAACCAATTTTTAATACATGAAAGAAAGAATTTTTTTAAGATCTCTTTTTTTTTTAAAAAAAAAAAGGAAAAGAAAGAATTACTTTTTTTAATAATAAAAAGAGATTAATTTTTTTTTTTTGAAACAAAACCTTTTTTCTTCTTTTTTACTTAATACCTTTTTTTTAAATTCTTCATTTGGTCTTGATAACTGAATTTGGGAGGTTTCGCCGAATTTTTTTTTTTTGTGCGTAATGTAAAAGTGCTGTGCTATTATGTGACCACTGATGATAAGTCTGCATTCCCTTCCTGGATATGTTAAAGTTTAATTTTAAATTTTCTCAATGGATTAAAGTATTAATTCGCAGCAATACACATGCAACTACATGAAAATTTACATCTTATCACCCGCAGTAAACGCCAAAGAAAAAAATCCCGAAAGAAAACAATGAAATTTTGCCCCGTCTTTTTAACTACCCAAAAGGAAATTTACCTTGTTATCAAAGTTTATCTATTTGAGCTTTCTTTTGGTTAAAACGTTTTGTTAAATGTCTCCTCTTTTTGAAACCTCTTTTATTATAAAATCATATCTTGTATTGAATAAATAAATCGAGTTTATTTTGGTCGCAAAATAAAAATTTAAAAGGAATTCATATTTCTTTAGAGAGATTCATTGACAGGTTTTCGCGCATTTGATCGCTTTCAACAACGAAATTTTTTTTTTTCAGATGATTGAAAGGAGGCCAATCATAACACAAGGCTACAACATCGTGTCAAAAAATAAATAATTTCGTGATTCTGTAAATCAGGTTATCATCCTTTAAAAAGATGTCAAATATAGACTAATTGCATATATATTCATGTAGATTATTTTTTCATTAATATTTTTTTTTTTGTTTCAAAAAGAGAATAAGTGTCAAATTTTGATTTTGAATGAAAAGAAAAACTTGTTCCTTCTCCTTTTATTCTTGTGACCAAACTTTTTTTCTTTCTCTTTTTTTTTTTTTTTTTTGTTTTTTTTATGTACTTGAGAAAAAGAAAAAAAAAATTATTAATCAAATAATTTAGGTTGTGTCAAACAAAGATACTTGAAAGTAGCAAAAGAAAATTTTCAAACAATCATCGTCTCGTGTCACGTTCGTAACGAGAATTTTACTTGACAAGTTAAAATATCACATAATCACATTTGATTTTTTATATCATTATATAATTGAACACAAAAAGAAAGAAGGTTTGGTTTATGGTGAGATGTGATAGGTTTAATAAGAAAACCTTGATTTAAATTAGGTTTGTAAAGTAAAAAGAATGAAAAAAAGGAAGAATTTATGAAACCTTAAAATAAATAAAATAAAATAAAAACTCTAATGAGTTTTTACCCATGAATTTCATGAATTTCCCGTAGTTTAAAATTTTTATGTGGTGTAAATTAAATTATATATTTGCATACTGCTTTTTTATATGCATACAATTTGGTTAATTTAGTTTATTTATTTATTTTATTACTTCTTTATTTATTTCTATTTATCCTTTATCAATCTTTGTTCGTTTCAAATTAATTCCTTCGAAAAAAAAAAAAAAAAATATTGAACATAAAAAATCAAAAAAAAAAAAAATGGGATGTACAGGAACTTTTGAAAAAGGTGCGCCAAGGACGCCAATCAAGAAATTTTTTTTTGTCTTCCGATTAACAGTTTTCCTGTTTTTTTAAAAAAATTTTTTTTTCTCCAAATATACCTGTATACCTGTTTATGAGGTATCTACGTTATCTACATACTAAATTAGAAGACCTTATCATCCCATTAATTTAACCTTCTTGAATCAAATCTAAATATATAAAACTCCCCAAAATTGCAAGTAAATCTTTGTAACAGGTAACCTAATCACCCTGTCATTAAACCTGTCAAACAGATTTTATGAACCCAGAACTGGTACCCAGACCATCTCAAATGATTAGGTCTAGAATAGAATCTTGGAATGTTATTAATACTTTAAAAATCATTATGTTAGTTAGTGGCTTTGAGCCTTGAGCTAAATCGGGTGTTCGCCGCTTCTGTGGCTTCGCTCTGGGTAACGATGGCTTAGTATTCATTTTAATATATAACCACCATTTTTTTAAAAAAAAGAACCCATCAAAAATAGTCTTTCATTGGAAGGGAGTGGATTAGCCGGGTTTAGCATAATTTGGGTGAGCATAATCGAATTACATTTAAGTTTCAATCCAAGGAGCATTCATGTGATACTTGTTTTTCGCGGAAAAAAGCAAGGATGATTGATTTGTTTACTGTAAACCTTTCAAATTAGGTAAAAACCTCCCACATTTTTTTTCTTTCAAAAGAAATTTTAATTTTTTTATTTTTTTATTTTTTTTATTTTTTTTATTTTTTTTTTTTTGTAGTCAAATCTGTAAAAATGGTGAGCTTCACCACTTCATTATTAGGAAAGTTTACGTTAGCTTCAATTGTAATTTATTGTATCACATTGACACTATTGGAAACTCTTGTAATTATGTTTCATTTGGAATTTGTCTCCAAATTCATACTTACACAAAACGGTAATGGAATCTCCGAATCCGATTTGATTTATCACGCAATGTGAGTGGTCACTCATCATCATTATTATTTTAAACAAAAAAACCCAACCCTAACCCCCCCTTGATTTACAGATTTATCACATCGTTAGTGTTTCAAGTGATCTTGTGTTTGGATGCGTTAATTCATAAGAATATAATCCAATTGAAAGCTCTAATAGCGTTCAATATCCTTTCACTTGCCTACGCGGCGGTGCAGATTTATCAACATATAATACTCGAAGAAGAAGGAACAAATGAGGCGATATTTTCCCCGGATGATGAGACCAAATTCCCAACGCCAGAATTTACCAAAAATTATTTCATCAAGAAAATGAGACCGATAGAATACATTATAGCCGGTCTAGTATCAGGATATTCGATATTCCTAGGATATTTATCTTATAAATTAATGGGAGAATTTGGATGGGAGAATTATAAGCTTTATTCCGGGGATTTACAAATTCGCAATGCATTGGTTTCACTCACATTACTGCATACCTTAATAAAATTAGACGCCTTCTTTATTTTATCATATGCCTTGCAACTCTTACCATCAAAATCGATTGGATACTCTGATTCCATCTTTGAGACCGTATCAATCTTTATCGGAGGGTTCATTATAATGTCGATGGCTTGGTATTCCGTTTCAAAAGAAATGAAATACCTCTTATTGTTTGTGATCAATTTATCAATATTTTCTTCAATTTATATGGTTTATAGGATAGTTAAAATCCTGATTTCAAGATCAGGTGAAATGGATCCTTATAAATTTACTAGAAAATTATTGCTTTTTACCTTAATTACCACCTTTGTGCTCGTTTGTGTTACCATTTATTATGCCATCATCTCTTTTAAAAATATGAATCGTGGAGTTTATGTTTTTACCGCTTATCAAAGTTCTGCCATTCCTCAAGATGTAGGTGATAGAACATCAAAAAGATTTTCGAAAATTGCCGAGGTTACTGTCGCTCGTAGATCATCAATCAACCTAGACTAAAGGAGGAAATTTGTTGAGGGATTTATTTATTTGTAAACAAGTTATTTTTTGTATTCAGTTTCAATCATTCAAACTATAAAAGTATAAATATAAAAAAGATCAAAAAACAATTTTTTGATTTTTATTCAACTAATTAATACATATTGAGAGATCTCAAGTTTTTTTAATAGCTTCCTTTTTTAATAAATCGGGCGGAAAAAAAAGGGTGACCAATAGAACCTTAGGTTTGGTTCGGTCCATTTCGGTCGGAACATTCCTTTTGTAAATCTTTTATATATCAACCATTGACAGTATGACGTTATCTTCTTGTACATAAACAAATGGAAAGATTAAACAAATGATTTGAGAATAAAGGATACTGTATATCGATATATCATATACAGTACACAGTTATACATTTTTTTTTTTTTGATTAAACATTTGTAATGACAAAAATAAAATAAAAATAAAAATAAAATAAAAAAAAGCCCTTGTTTATATTTAATGAACTGACCCGTCCCATCCCCTCCCCAAAATATAAACATATATAAATATTTTAGTTTAGTACCTCAGAAAAAAAACAAACAAGATTTTTATCTCTATAATCGTATTGGTCTCCTTTTTTTTTTTTTTTTGGTAGGATTAAGGATTAATTACGTTGATTCTTGGTCAGACTTTAATAATCTAGTGATACAATCCGGCTGGAACATGGTCTTTTTTTTTTTTCCCTTTTTCTTTTTTCTTTTTTTACTATGATGATTTAAAGTGGGGTTGTAAACAAACTAATTGTGTTTATCAGATCATTAAAGGATAAGGTTATAACGCGGACCGGGCATTCTGAAACCCTACCCTGTATCACAATAATAATATTGCAATCTCATTTATTTTTAGAAAGTGAACTCCCAAATAATACCCAACACCATCCCATCTTTTGAAACGTAAAATTAATATTATGATTTTCTCATAAATGAATACTTATTGTTGGAATGAAGTTTGGAATCCTACTAACCTATTGTCTTTTGGCGGTTATGTACTTCAAACACATAAAATAAATCAAGTAACTAGAATAAAAATCAAAAAGGTCGATTAACAATCCACATGTTTGATTTGGGAAATTCTTTTTTTTTTCTTTCAAAATAAATAAAATAAAAATAAATAAATAAAAACAATCAATTTAAGTTCATTTTATTGTAAATAACTGTAAATAACTAAATAAAATTATTTTAAATATATTTAATTTACTAAAAGTGGTTACAAGGAATTGATTAATATTGTTCAGCTGGGAAATATGCGGATCCGGTCATGTCCGCAGCATACTTTGAACGAACGAATCTTTAATCTGCGGATAAATAAAATAATACAGTACCATTTAAAAATTTAAAAAATTTCCAATGCAATCTTATATCAACGCTATCAAAAGCATGATTTGATTCATGGTTTGTTGTTATGCCACATTTAGAAATTTAACCTCTGGCCGAAATCAAAAGATTTTGACCGGAATAATGGTCGATCGTTCAATATGACACGTTATTGTTACAAACTTGTCAATGAAAGGATTTTTTATTTATTAAATTTTTTATTTTGACAGTTTATTTTAAAGAAAAAAAGCGGAAAAAATTGGAATTATGGATTGTTTATGAAAGAAGGATATTCTGATGCTATTATATTTTGATAAATCGTATTTTTATATTAAAAATTTCCACTTATTAAAATAAAAATACTAATCACAAACTATCTGGAATTCTTTATAACAATCTATTTATTTGAATAACTTAATCGAAAAAATTTTTAAAAAAAAAAAAAATATTAACTAATATTAAAATTTAATAAATTTTTATCTGATAAATCAAAAAAAAATTATAAATTTATTTTATCAATAACCTTATATTAATTTTAATATAAAATCTTTTAATATTATAATATTAATATTTTAATATATAATTATACTATATAATATTATTTTATTTATTTTAATATTTAAATTATTACTATTTTTTAATAATTTAATATTAATTTGCTTTTTTAAGAATAAATTTATTATAATAATTATAATCTTTCCAGTTATTTTCTAAAAGAATATAAAATATAAATGAATCTGAATATTTTTTCAGATGATATTTTTAATTAATAATTTATTGTTTATAAAATTATTTATTTAAAAAATATTAGATTTAATTACTAATTTTATAATGATTTAGATGAGAATATTTTCAATAAATCAAGTCATGAGATATAATTAATCATATGATCTGTAATGTGATTTTATTGATAATGTTTCTATATACTATACAATTAATCCTTTATATACTTATATTATATATACTATATATACTAATAATTGTATATACTAATAAATTTTTCATAATCTATTTTGCAATTGATAAAAAATTCTTTTTATACTAATATTATATATAGTTTAAAAATGTAATATATACTAATATTTTTTTTATCCCTTAAAATTAATATATTGTAGGATGTAATAATATTTTAAATATATGTATTAGGTAAACTAGTATATATATAATCTTACTTAAAATTTATAATCTATCTAATAGTAATATAATAATAATTATAGATGGGAACTGTAATTAATATGTTGCAACTTTTAATGTTGCAACTTACGTTGCAATTAGTTTTAACCTATATATGTTGCAACTAATTTTAGCTTATGTTGCAACATTTTGTAAATTTGAAATCAATTGCTGTACTATCTTTAATAATAATAGTAAATATTAATAGTATATCAAGTAATTACTTAATATATTTAATTAAAATATTCACATTTTATAATATTTTATAGTTTTACTACTTTGTTATATGTAGTAATATCTGTCTAATCTCTTTTTTGAAAAATTGTAGTTTCATCAAAAGGATTTGTCTTTTTAATATTTTTATATAAATAAATATAAAATTATTATATTTTTTAATGTATTTTAATGTATTTTAGTTTAAGGAATTCAAATCAAGCTAAAAATAATTTGAGCAATTAAGTAAAATAGTTTCTTTATTAATAAAAAACTAGTTTCATTATTTTAGTTTCATCAAATTTGTCATATAAGAAAGGTAATTTCATTAGGTATTTCTAATTACAAGTTTATATTTTTCTATGATATAGATTTTTTTGAAATATTACTTTAGAGATTTATTATGTAACATAATATTACAAAGATTATTAAGACATAATATTTCATAATTTTATATCTATTTAAAAGAAATTTATTTTAAAATTTTATTAGCATATACATAAATTAAACCTTTTTAAACTTTAAATTTATGTTATTGTTAGTAATTTTACATGTTTTTTAAGATTATTTTGAATAATATAAAAGGTTTTGAATATTAAATTGTATTATTTCTATTTTTTGTAAAAAATTAATTAATTTGATTTATCTAAATTTAGAAAATTAAGCATATGTATATGAAATAATTCATTAATATTTTAATGCGTAATACTAAAGTTAAAATATTTTAAAAATTTACTAAGTTATAATATCTTTAAAGTATTACAATCAAAGTACAGTAGTGGCGGAAAATAATGATAATTTTTAGGTTATATGTTTTTTTAATCAATTTTTATTTTATTTACACAAAACTTTAATGATATATAATGTAATACTATATGTAAATAAAAATAAAATTTTAATGGTTGATTATTTGACCCTTCTTTTCAATATCTTCTAAACGTTTTTTCATACCCGCACATAAATTCGATAGGAAATCTGAATCAAGATTTTCCCATTCAGATCAAATAATTGACAAAAAATCATTTAATCCAACTGGTTTTTTTTGTATTATAGGTTGATTTACTCTATTTTCCACCTTTTTTTCATTATTGCCCATAAGTTCTCTATGGGATTGAGGTCCGAAGAATAGGACGGCCAATCAAGCACTCGCAGACACTTTTCTTGAAGAAGAATCGTTGTTAATTTTGCCTTGTGCTTGGGATCATTGTCCTGTTGGAATGTCCACCTTCTTCCAAGAACTCTGGTAGTATTAGTAAAAAGATTTTTAGTTAAAATATCCTGGTAAAGTTCTCCATTCATAATTTCAGTAAAACAATGAAACCCCACAATTCTGCTTGCACAAAAAGCACCCATGCATGAACTTTGAGTAGATGTTTTACAACTGTACGTCATGGTTTTTCTTTTCTAATCTTATATCTTACCAGTGTTGTATTACGAAATAGTTGAAATGTAGTTTTATCAGAAAAAATAACTTTTTTCCAATTTTTATTTAGATGAGATTTTGACCATTCAGCCCTACGTTCTTTGGCAGCAATGGTTAACATTAGTATTGATGTTGGTATGCAAACACGATAACCTAGATTAAAAAGATTTTCACAGATGATTTTAGGAGCAATATTAAGGTTGGGATATGTTTGATTAAGTGTAAAAGCAATTTCCTTGCTAATTGCACATTTTCTTGTACTAGCTAATTTTCCAAGATAAGTCCATTTTTTTGAAGACAAAAGTTTTGGCCTTCCAGAACGTGGTTTTGGTTTAATAGTACCAAAATTTTCAAGTTTTCAGATATAAGTGTATAATGTGGATTTCGAAATATGTGTTATTTTATGTAATTCATTAATATCATGGATTCCATTTGCCTACAAATTGCTTACAAATGACTGTCTTTCATTTAAAGAGAGTTTTTTTGTCATGATGAAAAAGAGATAAATAAAAAAATTTTTTTTTGCTCATCTTGTGATTATTTGTTTATTTATATTGTAAATCACATATTAGTTTAATAAATACGCAAAAAAAATAAAGAGTTAACTATTAAAAAGGAAGTGATAAGCAATGTTGATTAAGTCACATGATATTATCATTACTTTTCGCCACTACTGTATTTTAAAGGTTTATTAAATAATAATATCTACAAAGAATTTAAACTATAATTATATAGAACTATAATCTTAGAAATACTTTAGTAAAGATATAAATATTATGAAGGTTTATAATATAAAACTTTATAAATATATGAAAAAAATATTATTTGTAGAATATTTCACTTCAAATACTTTT